AATGGCTTAAACAGAAGAAAATACGCCTTCTGAAGTGGCCCAGTCAGAATCCTGACCTCAACCCGATTAAGATGCTGTGGCATGACCTCAAGAAAGCGATTCACACCAGACATCCCAAGAATATTGCTGAACTGAAACAGTTCTGTAAAGAAGAATGGTCAAGAATTACTCCTGACCGTTGTGCACGTCTGATCTGCAACTACAGGAAACGTTTGGTTGAAGTTATTGCTGCCAAAGGAGGTTCAACCAGTTATTAAATCCAAGGGTTCACATACTTTTCCCACCTGCACTGTGAATGTTTACATGGTGTGTTCAATAAAAACATGGCAACATTTCATTCTTTGTGTGTTATTAGTTTAAGTAGAGTGTGATTGTCTGTTGTGACTTAGATGATGATCAGATCACATTTTATGACCAATTTGTGCAGAAATACATATCATTCCAAACGGTTCACATACTTTTTCTTGCAACTGTATGACATGCCGATGTTCCCAAACTGGATGGCCTCTGGTTAGGACAGTTGAAGCTAGGACCTTGTTTGTTCACTATATCTGTTCTCTGGGGTCTCCCGTCGTTATTGAAGGGACGTTACGTCTTACCTGCGTATTTGAGAACGCCATGAGTTCTCGGGACTCCAGACTCATATTCCTATAGTTCGGTTCTCGAATTCACATTCCTGGGTCCCTTGGCCTAGGGTCTACTCCGGGAGCTAGGTGCCTGGACAGTCAAGGATACAGGGACCTAGGGTCTCACTATATTATACCCTATCTTGGAGGTGTCGTGCTGACCATGAACTTTGACAGGTCGGGCATGGAACAGGATCGAACAGACGATTAATCAGATTACCAGCTTACCAGGGCTGTTTCGTTTTTCGTCAGGCCTACACTTCGAACCGACTTCGAAGACTTTGCGGTCCTCCACGTGAATACAACATGGAGGACTCTTCTTTGTCTATGCAGGGCCCTATTACCCTTGGATCCGGACCACCTATCACTCCCCGACAAGGATATATTTGGATGGAAATCTCATACTCTAGTTTCGTTTCCCTTTTTTGGTTATATCCAGGATTCACAGGTTCCCAGAATAGTCAACCACTGTTTCGCTACGCTAGTCCATAGTTGGGACTCTGATTGGACGCCCCTGGGGAGTACCTTATTCTACCACAGTTGCGGGTTATGCAGTCCATTTGGAGTACTGGAAATAGTCTTACCGGCATAATAGGTTTATTCTTGGACAAGACCACTCACCACGGAAGTTCATGAGGGAACTATAAGATTCGGTTCGGTTACGGAAATGGTGGTAGACTCAGACGCATTACCTGAGGTTGGAATTTTGTCTACAAGGCCACATCACCTGGTGATCCCGGCACGATCGAAGAAACCATCTTCTACATCAAAGGTCGAGATCTGGTGGCAGTTTTTTCTCACAATCCTAAATCCACGGATGACCCTCAGCGTTTTACACTACAGGGAAGTAGCTAATAGGTCAGCTCTGCAGTTCATAGACATCTGCTAGAAAACAGGTCGTAACCCCACGTACAGTGGATCTACCAACGAATGGAGTTTTCCCGTATTTTGGGGTACATCGGCAGCTAGCATCTTCATTGATCCGTCTACTGTCACTTCTCACAGTTGGAGGGTCCATTGGGGACTGCTCTGGTTATCTTCCGGAATAGGTACCAGCGAAACAAAAAGCGTTGGATTTGATGGCTGAGCTTTAAAACAGCAAATACGAAGCCTCCTGTCATGTTATAAAATTGTAGATTATGCTAGCTTTAGTGTACCTATAATCTTAATTTTGTTAATGACAGGAGGCGAGTATTTCCCACCCATTCTTATCCCTCCCTTGTTTAATTTTAATAGTTTGGGTTCATCAGGTACGTATGCAACTCTGCTTGTTGTCTCTGCCACTTGTTCTTATGTCTAATTTTTCATAAGTAGGGTTGGGATATCTTTATATTAGGTTATTTTGGTTGATACATTGGGTACCTACATGTTTGTTAAGAGTACATTTAATTAGCTAACCAACCTGTTCGATTCTGTTTTTTCTCGTTTCAGTTACAGTCCATCAAAGCCATCTGGTTCGGCAGTTCCCCTCGGATGGTGGACGTTGTTGTATTCATTGTATCTAGGACTTTGCTTCTTCCCCATTATATTTTTTTGCCTTTTCTGTTTTGTAGCAGCTTGAAAGAGGAAATGATGTATGGGGAGGGGAGTTTTATAGTACCTAACTTTTTTCTGATTGGTTGTTTTTACTGTGCTGCTGTGGAGTTCTAGTAAAGAGAGACTTAAATGACCACTCTAGGCACCCAGACCACTTCAGCTTAATGAAGTGGTCTGGGTTCCAGGTCCCTCTAGGATTAACCCTTTTTTTAATAAACATAGCAGTTTCAGAGAAACTGCTATGTTTATAAATGGGTTAATCCAGCCTCTAAAGCTTCTAGTGGCTGTGTCATTGACAGCTGCTAGAGGCGTTTGCGTGCTTCTCACTGTGAAAATCACAGTGAGAAGATGCAAGCGTCCATAGGAAAGCATTATGAATGCTTTCCTATGAGACTGGCTGAATGCGCGCGCAGCTCCTGACGCGCATGTGCATTCAGCTGGAGAGGACGAGGAGAGCTCCCCACCCGGCGCTGGAAAAAAGGTAAGATTTAACCCTTTTCTCACCATCCAGCCCGGCGGGAGTGGGACCCTGAGGGTGAGGGCACCCCCAGGGCACTATAGTGCCAGGAAAACGAGTATGTTTTCCTGGCACTATAGTGGTCCTTTAAGCAAATACTCGCCTCCTGTCATTAATAAAATTAAGATTATAGGTACACTAAAGATAGCATAATCTACAATTTTAGCATCACTCAGATACACTTTGTGTTTGAAATGGCATGGATCTTAGCAGTTTTTAATATCACAACTAGGAGGAGCTTTGCCTGAACTCAATAGAGCAATGGGTAGGATAATGTCACACAGCTCTTCTGCAGGTCAAAAGAGTGATATTACATAAAGTTCAAGATTTGATCTATTTAGGAAATAGTTCATTTCCCTATAAATAAGCGTCAACCCTCCCCACATTTTGGCTGTGCATAAGACGTACAGCATAGTGGGTACATACTGCTAGTGCAGTGGACTGTGTTGATGGATAAAATAGTTTCTACTGCAAGTATCATTGAATCTTGGTATTGAGATATAGGCAGCTGCTTGTATAGACAGAGGCTGAAAGTGACTGCATTCTGTGCAATGTACAATTTATATTGCGTGTCATTCCTAGTACTGTATGCATCATTCTAAGTAACCCTTCCAGTTCATGCTTCATTGGTGATGTCTTTGGAACAGGATATATTAATATGATTGAGATTGTACAAATTCTTTAAGGGGGGGGGGCTTGATGTGTGTCCCCCCTTCCCCCTCCCAAAGACGTGCCACCACGTCTGCTTTAAGTAAAATAAATTCATCTGTAAACTCCCATGTATTAACACATTATGCCATGATTTCTATTTTTATAGAAATCAGATACAGAACATCCCTAAAAGCTTTGTATCATTTTAAGAAAACTTTTACCATTTTAAAGCATTGTAAAGATTGCTATGTTAAATTTCCTGCTATGTTTACATTGGATTAAAACTTGATTAGGACATCCCTCCACTGTTGTTAACATTAGACTGTGGCAGCCATGCATTCAGGGCCGCATCAGAAATTTTGGGGCCCCTGACAAAGCCCAAGTCTGCCCCCCCCCCACTCCCTCCCTCCCGGGCCCGCCCACGCCCTACCTAGTCCGCTCAGAATGATACAGGACTGAATGTGGTATGTATAGTAGAAGTGTGTAATGGATGTAGTGTTTGTGTGTATTAGATACTGTTTGTGCAGTGAATGCAGTGTGTATAGTGAACGCAGAGTGTATTTGAGTTGTGGATGTAGTGTGTGTTTGTGCAGTGGATGTAGTGTTTGTATGTACTAGATGAAATGTGTTTAGTGGATGCAGTGTCTGTAGTGGATGTAGTGTGTGTATTAGATTCAGTGTCTGTGTATAGTGAATGCAGAGTGTTTCAATTTGTGGTGGATGTAGTGTGTGTACTGTGAATACAGGATGTTTGTGTAGTGGATGCTGTGTGTACAGTTAATGCAGAGTGTGTGTCAGTATAGTGAATCCAGAGTGTGTGTTAGTGTGTAATGAATGCAGAGTGTGTGTTAGTGTGTAATGAATGCAGAGTGTGTGTTAGTGTGTAATGAATGCAGAGTGTGTGTTAGTGTGTAGTGAATGCAGAGTGTGTCAGTGTAATGAATGTAGTGTGTGTGTTAGTGCAGTGAATGCAGAGTGTGTGTAAATTTGTAGTGAATGCAGAGTGTGTGTTAATGTGTAGTGAATGCAGAGAGTGTGTTAGTGTGTAGCGGATGCAGAGTGTGTGTTAGTGTAGCGGATGCAGAGTGTGTTAATGTGTAGTGACTGCAGAGTGTGTGTCAGTATAGTGTATGCAGAGTGTATGTTGTATTAGTGTATGCAGAGTGTGTGTTGTATTAGTGTATGCAGTGGGTGTGTTGTATTAGTGTATGCAGTGGGTGTGTTGTGTTAGTGTATGCAGTGTGTTTGTGTTGTGTTAGTGTATGCAGTGTGTTTGTGTTGTGTTAGTGTATGCAGTGTGTGTGTGTTGTTAGTGTATTAGTGAATGCAGTGTGTGTGTTGTGTTAGTGAATGCAGTGTGTGTGTTGTGTGTGTGTGTGTTTTGTGTTAGTGTATGCAGTGTGTGTGTGTAAATGTGCAATGTGTAAATTAAATGTAAATGTTTCTCCCCTCTCCCTGCTTACCTGTGTCCAGGGAGGGGGGAGATTCCATCCGTGGTGGTCCGGTGGGGGGCCCCCCGGCTCCCTGTTACCGCAGAGAGGGCCCAGGCAGCACACAGCTTCTAACAGGGAGCCGGGGGGCCACGGCTGCACACATAGATAGCGATATTCGCTATGTGTGCAGAAAGGGAAAGTGGGGCCCAGGACTGCCAGAGCAGTGCCATAATAGAAGAAAGATTGCCCCCCAAAAATTCAAAAATAAGGAAAGTCAGTAGAGCCCCTGACACGCGTTTCACCAGTGGTAGCGCATGAGAGAGGAGGTTGGAGTTCTTCCAACTGTCGAACTACAACTCACACAGTTCTCAGGGATAGGTAGTCGTCCTCCATCTAAAGTGTCAGGTGGAAACCCAGCGAGAGGAGGTAGAGGTAGTCTGCTTCCCACCCCAGTGGCAGAGTGCAACCCAGATAGAAGAGTCAGTCAGCCTCCTTCACCAGCGGAAGATGGCAAGCAAGGGAGAGGAGGTTGTTGGCCTCCTTCCCTAGCAGCAGATGGAAACCCAGCAAGCAGAACTAGACATAGTCAGCCTCCCTCCCCAGCAACAGAGGATCAACACCCCGCTAGCTTTCTAGCAGAAGATGATGCTCCTGGGAGAGGAAATAGCCAGCCTCACTCCCCAGCAGTAGCTGGCAACTCTGTGAAAGGTGGTAGCAGTAGTTAACCTCTCTCCCCAGCAACAGAGTGCAGTCCAGGGAGTGGAGGTAGTCGGTTGATCACAACCAAGGGAGCAAAGGTTGCTGCCTTCCTCCATAGCGGCTGATGGAAACCCAGGGAGCAGAGGCAGAAGTAGACAGCCTCCCTCCCCAGCAACAGAGTGCAACCCAGGGAATGGAGATAGTCTGCTTTCCTCCCCAGTGAGAGGTGGTCGAGGTAGTCGGCCTCCCTCCCCACCGGCAAATGGCAATCCAGTGAGAGGAAGTAGAGTAGCCAGCCTCCCCAGCAGCAGTGTGATGTTACAGGGAGGGGTCACTGGCGTACATACCAGGGTCACAGGGGTCGCGACTGCGACCGGGCCCGGCCCACCAGGGGGCCCGGCCGCCCCTGCGACCCGGTATGTACGCCCAAGGCCAGCCTCTTCCCCTGGGGGGCCCAGGAGCCAACCACCCCAGGGCCCCCCTGAGGCTGGCCCTGCTGACCCTGGGTGGCCGGTCGGGCAAGCAGGCGGGCGCGCGAGGGAGCACTCAGTGCTTCCTCTTCAGCTCCCTCGCGCGCTGCGTACGGATGCCGGAGCCGGAAGATGACGTCATCTTCCGGCGCCGGCATCCCTACGCGGCGCGCGAGGGAGCTGAAGAGGAAGCACTGAGTGCTCCCTCGCGCGCCCGCCTGCCTGCCCGACCGGCCACCTGCCCAGGAGCCCCACTGGACCCCAGGGAATAATCCCCCCCAGCACTCCAAGAGGTAAGGAGGCTGGGGGGATTATATTAAAAAAAAAAAAAAATCGTGTGAGTGTGAGTGTGAGTGTGAGTGTTAGAGTGAGTGTGTGTGTTAGTGAGTCTGTTTGATGTCTGTTAGTGAGTGTGTGTTTGTCAATGAGAGTGTATGTTTTGTACGTGAGTGTGTATGTATGTCTGTCGCTGACTGTATCTCTGTCAGTAAATGTGTGTGTCTGTTAGCTAGTGTGTATGCGTCTGTAAGTGAGAGAGTGTGTGTGTCTTCAGCACTTACCTTTCTCCAGCGCCGGACTCCCTTGGCGCTGAGGATCCCTCAGCCTCTCAGCTCCGAATGCGACCGCGCACGCATTCAAACCGCCCATAGGAAAGCATTACTCAATGCTTTCCTATGGACGCTCAGTGTGCTCCTCTAGCGGCTGTCCGTGAGACAGCCACTAGAGGCAGGATTAACCCTCAGTGAAACATAGCAGTTTCTCTGAAACTGCTATGTTTTCAGCTGCAGGGTTAAAACTAGAGGGACCTGACACCCAGACAACTTCATTGAGCTGATGTGATCTGGGTGTCTGTAGTGGTCCTTTAAAGGACCACTATAGTGCCAGGAAAACATACTCGTTTTCCTGGCACTATAGTGCCCTGAGGGTGCCCCCTCCCTCAGGGACCCCTTCCCGCCCGGCTCTGGAAAGGGGTAAAACTTACCTTTTTCCACCGCTGGGCGGAGAGCTCTCCTCCTCCGATCCTCCTCTTCTCCTCCCCGTCGGCTGTATGCGCACGCGCGGCAAGAGCTGTGCACGCATTCAGCCGGTCACATAGGAAAGCATTCATAATGCTTTCCTATGGACGCTGGCGTGCTCTCACTGTGAAAATCACAGTGAGAAGCACGCAAGCGCCTCTAGCGGCTGTCAATGGGACAGCCACTAGAGGAAATAGGGGAAGGCTTAATCCATTCATAAACACAGCAGTTTCTCTGAAACTGCTATGTTTATGAAAAAATGGGTTAACCCTAGCTCGACCTGGCACCCAGACCACTTCATTAAGCTGAAGTGGTCTGGGTGCCTAGAGTGGTCCTTTAAGTGTGTGTGCATCTGCATGCACTGGCGTACATACCGCGGTCGCAGCCCTGTAACCCCTGCGACCAGGTGACCACCGCCATGTGTTGCGGCCCGGCCCGCGCGGGGGGGGGGCCCATGGATCAATTTTCGCACCGGGGCCCCATGGGTCATGTGTACGCCACTGGGAGGGGTGGCTAACATACTCACTCCCCAGCGGCTGAGTATGTGCCAGGGAGAAGAGCTCAGTTGGCTCTCTTCCCAGCAGGAGATTGAGGAGCTCACCACAACCCCAGCTGAAGCACTGGCATCAGAACAGAGCACCACTTGCATCTGCTCCCAACTTGCTGTTGCTCCTGAAAATGTGTGAGGGGAGGAGAGCTCTACATTGGTGAACGAGCCAGACCCCAGCTGAAGTGCTGGAAACGGGACAGAGTGCTGCCAGCCTTTGCCCCCAACTATTCTCCACCAGTGTAATCCCAAGATGCTGGGCAGCTGGCCCAGATCCCCAACTCATTGTTTCAGAGATACTCTGTATTATCTCCAGTGGCTGATAGGACTTTTACTCAGTGTCCGCTTCATATAATGAAGTTGGCAGGGTAAGTGAATGCTCCAACTGTATTCAATTCTGAAAATTGCTTTGTCCTTGGGATTATCAAAATGAAACTACTAACTAACCTACGAGTCTTTCATCAGGTTAGTCTCCATTGGAAATGGGGAGATATGTGACGCTAGTCACCATCACCAAGAGCTTAAGGACCAAACTTCTGGAATAAAAGGGAATCATGACATGTCACACATGTCATGTGTCCTTAAGGGGTTAAGAATGACACTTTTTGTTTTCATGAACTATTTTTATGTTTAAGTCATCCTGTGCCCATTATAGGTGCAGATGTGTGTAATGTAATTGTGTAGTGTTAAATGTTTTGTGTGCTGTCCTGTGCTGCTGATGCTTGCCGCGAACTAGGTGGATTTGGCTATGGAGCCTATACAGCGCCATCTGTTGGTAGCAGCTCTTATGTGCACTACCTGAATAGCAAGACTCTGCAATTTGCATATTTAGGCAGATTTGCATATTATGGTTTCTGCAGACAGAAAAGATGTTTTGTGTTATTTTCGTCTCCACCCCTTTATTATTTATTATGTTATTGTGCCATTATGAGTCCCTGTATATTTCCCCATATGATTTGGATATTTGTATTAAACTGAGTTTGTCACAATAAGTTTGAAGTAATGAACATATGGACAAGTCCTGTGTTAAAATAAAGCAGTGTATGTTAGTTTTGGGACTGTGTGTCTTGGTTGATTTGTTCAGAGATCCCAGTAACAGAGTCTTTTGACCTGTTGGCTATATCCCGGGACAAGTAAAAAGAGCTTGACCTGAGACCCACAAGTGCCTTTGTAAAGGCAGTAGCTGAACACATTGAAGTTACCATAGGCATGCGCAGCCTATTGCATTAGGGTATGCACCCTAAAGCACAAACACACACCGCATGTGTTTGTGTATAAATATATATGTGTGATACACTTCTGTTAGTGTGTGTGTGCTGGTAGTGTGCCATGTTGGTGAGGGTGCAGTCTGTGTGTGAGGGTGCTGGTAGTGTGCTGTGTGTGAGGGTCCTGTTAGTGTGCTGTGTGAGGGTGCTGTTTGTGTGATGTGTGTGTGTAAGGGTGCTGTTTTTGTCGTGTATTTGTGAGGGTGCTGTTTGTGAGGGTGCTGTTAGAGTGCTGTGTGTGAGGGTGTTGTGTGTTTGTAAGGGTGCTGTGTGTGTGTACAAAACAAAATAGTGTGCAGCGCAAATATGTAATACCACAAGTGAGATGCAATGCATAGTGGAGGTGTATATACCCAATAAAAGAGACAAATATATACCCCAATTGTTGGCAGGGTCAAACAGTAGCCAAAAGTCAGAGACCCCCTGGACAGAAGTTGTACTTTGAAAACCTAAGTGAGTAATTAGGACTCTGTATTTTATCCTTTTTGTTTTTATCTGTTGGTGTGAATAATTTGTTTATCATATATTGTTATATGCACTGTGACTATTTTTGGCTCATAATAAACATTCATTTATTAAGTTCTGCCTTTGTCTGGTTAAGAATCACGTTACCTGAAGAGACTAGTTAGTATTTTTGCAATTCCTTAAATATTGTGCTAAGTAATATTTGGTGGGTTTTTACTGTTGATTTACCTGGGGGACCAAGGCACCCCATTCATAAATTGTCTTGGTGGTGGCAGCGTTAAAATAGTAATAGTTATATTATTATGTTTAAGTGTGGGTGGTGTTAAAAGGGGGATTTTGTCATTATTTCCGGTCTAGTGCAGACAAATAGTGGATTTTAACCCTTTCACCACCACAACTATGTCACGCACACTCTTGGAGTAGGGTGCGTTCATGACAGTATGTTTTAAACTGTATTTGTGTTACTTTTAATTGTTACTCTCAGGCTAAGGGGGGGAGATGTGTGTGATGTAACCAGTGTGTGATTGGGTAATTCATAATTGTATGTGGGCATCTCCCTTGCATGGGAGAATTGCATAAAAGCAGAGTGTGTGTCATTAAAAACCTCTGTAGCGGAGAGCTGCTATCACACAGGCTAAATCCGCTGTAGATCCCAGTATGGCTCAGGAACAAGCAATAATCCCAGGCACTGTACCCACAGTGAGAGAATAATCCAGCAGCATAACAAACACAATCAGCAGTAAAATCCAATAGTGTCCCATCACCTTTCCCAATAACTGGACGACACACAGTATCAGGAGCAGAACTGAACTTTAATCACACAACCCCGGCTTTTATGCAACGCTCCCATGCAAGGGAGACACCCACAATAATTAGTACAGTAACCAACAATATTACACTAACCACCCACAATTCTTCTCCCCTCAGATAAGCATTTAACATAATTAACAAGTACACACTTTTCCCCGAGTTTTAAATGTACCCCAAATACCTGGGGTACACCCTTAAATCTGGGTGAGCAACATATTCAAAAATCACCCAGATCGGACCAGGGGTTCGGGAGTTATCGAGTGTAATGGATCATCTGGCACCCCGACTGGGTACCTCCGTTGAAGGATGCTCCTAGCACTTCCTGAGGGCTCCAAGCACTCCAGCCGACACCATAACTACTGCAGACTCCTTCAGAGAGCAAGACAGGAACAAGCTCTTACAATAGCTCAGTGATTATAGCAAGGGAATATGCAGAGAATAGAAATCCCATGTAGCAAATCCCCCCCAATAAGAGACAGGACTCAGATTGAGGGTGATTTACTGGGGCTACCTGCCCGGCTTTTATGCAGGTCTCCCACCTGGTGGACACTCCCCTAGGGGACCAGATGGAAGAATGGGAAACATATTGGACATTGACCAATCACAAGCTTACAATCCCACAATGCATCACAATCCCTCCTCTCTGTCCTGGAGATAATTGGGAAGTAATCCAATTATCTCCAAGGACAGAGGCAAAACTCCATTAACCACATGGCAGACAAAGGACAATAAAAGACATAAAAATACATACTGTTACATTTATCACATAGAACATACACATTTTACCTATCCCCAGATAGCTTAGATCTGAACGCACATTATTACCGGATAGCGCTCAGATCACGTACACACAGTTAAATCGCCATGGAGCCAAAGTCTTTCATACAGTCTTTCAGTATACGGCTGGGCTCCATGGCATAGCTATCTGGGGTAGCATAGCTTTAACAGTCCGCAGAAAGGCACGAACCAGCCTTTCTGCAGGGAAAAGGAACAGTGTTAAACATGGGGCCATAGTCCAGTGGCAGGAGGCGGGCGACCAGGCTCCTCCAGTGGTCAGTGGCGAGGTTGGTTCCGCCACATCGAGGTTTAAAGTTTGGACCGACCACACAGGCAACAGTAGCCGAAAATAGTTCCATAAGTTTTGGCCTTGCGGTCGGTCTCTTTTCATGTTTTAAAAGTCCCGGAATACATGCCATCCAGGGTTGATCTTGTATTCGCATAAATCCCTTAGTGTGAGAGAGTCTTTCTACCGAACGGCGGGTCATTCGGTTGTTTTAACACTACTCTATGGGAGTCTGGAGGTCTCAGCGGTGTTTGCTTAGTCGAGTGTCCGATTTTTAGCTCCGGACACTCGACGGCAAAACACCGCTGTTCGTGAGTTTCCCACAAGAGGCAATAAAAACTAATTGGGAGGTTAGTTGAAGTCACACTTATGCATTAAGGTGGTCCGGTGTTCGGTAGTTTGTGTTCGTATGGTGAATGAAGTATGTGGCGGAACAGACCTCGCCCCGTGTTCTTGGAGGGGGCTGCTTGCCTGCCTCCTACCTTCTGACTATGGCCCTGGGATATATGGCATTTGAAAACACTAATTATGCCCTGTTACAAAACTGGAGATTGTGCACAAATATGACTATTGTCCATATTTTTTTATGATTCCCTTCGTTTGTTGCACTGTTCCCCATGTGTTTCATCTGTTGGTTCGGCTGGATAGACAACCAGACAAACTGTGGAGTTACTGGGTGGCCACCATTTCATGTATCAGAGGCACATGGTGAGATCAATGGATGAAGCACATGGTGAGAACAACGGATGGCGGCCATTTTACCTCACAGACGCTGTTTTGACTTTTCTACACGGTGCCATCTCGCCGGTATTTGGTGCACAAAGACATAGTTCAGTAGTTTTAAACTACAGAACAGGGGACACATTTAACAGTAATTATTGTTCATATAGCCTGTATATGTTCTGCGGAATCTGCATTAAACCGTATCTTCCAAACTACTGAACAGATCTGGGTGAATTTTGGATATGTGGTTCACCCAGATCCCCCGGTTCAGAGGATATATTTTTATGGGGTATTGCATGCTTTGGGGTCCCTGTGATATGTTTTATAATACTGTATTTTCCTGCCTGTGATAATTAAGTTAGTCTATTGTGTTGAGATAATTGTATCGCAGGCAGAGGGGAAGATTTCTGATGTAATGAATGGGAGTGTTAGCTGTGTTGTAATGTGTTGATTGGTTGTTCTTCAAAACTCTGTGGGCAGTACTGTGTTTGTAGAATGTGAATAGAAGAGGCTGTATGTGCCAGTACAGTCAGTTCTACTTCACCCTAAATTTGGAGTGCCGTCTCTTATTGGGGGAATCTGCTACAAGGGATTGCTATGCTCTGCATACTATCTTGCTATATTCACTGCTAAGCTCTAGTAAGCGCTTGTTCCTGTCCTGCTCTCTGAAGGAGTCCACGGTGATTATGGTGTCGGCTGGAGTGCTTGGAGCACTCAGGAAGCGCTAGGAGCATCCTTGAACTGAGGTACCCAGTCGGGGTTCCAGGTGATCCGTTACAAAGTATTTCAGTACAGTTTATGGGAACAATTAGATGAACGTTTTAATTCACATGAACGTCTATGGGGAAAACAATGAGCGGGGAATATGCTGGACAGCCAGGTGGATTTTGCTGCAACCTCAGTTCTACTTCACCCTCAATTTGGAGTGCCGTCTCTTATTGGGGGAATCTGCTACAAGGGATTGCTATGCTTGTCATACTCCCTTGCTAAATCACTACTAAGCTCTTGTAAGAGCTTGTTCCTGCCTTGCTCTCTGTAGGAGTCTACGGTGGTTATGGTGTCGGCTGGAGTGCTTAGAGCCCTCAGGAAGCGCTAGGAGCATCCAGTAACGGAGGTACCCAGTCGGGGTGCCCGTCGATCCATTACATTGGTGTTTGCAGTGGGATGGCGTCCTAGTGTGAGGTAAAGCAGCTCGGAGACACCGTTCGTGGAGTTACAAATTGAGGGCAATGCTAGCACTCGTGCAGTGCCCCTGGGAGCAGAGGTATCCAGCGACTTGGAGCAGACACGTATGGAAGGCTCTGGCGATGATTGGCTGGCCGAGGTGAGGCAGCGAGTGGCACAGTATGGTGATAATGTGCCCATGGATATATGCCAGACGATCTGGAACCAGGTCACAGCCGAGCGAAATGCAAGGATGGACCGAGAATTCCGGCTGGCGAAAGAGAATATGCTCAGCGGAAGGAGTGTTACAGCAGCCAAAGAGAGGCTGCATTCGAGGAGGTTAACTGCTTCCACCTGAGGCGGCCAGAGAAACCCAAAGTAGGGGTACTCATAGACTGGTCCTGTGAGGAACCGCAACAGGCAGGTGGAGATGGAACCGAGGTCTCTCCACCAGGCCAACCGTGATGCTGGGAAGCTAGCCCAGATCCCCAGCAGCCCGAGTTACCGGGTGCAGAAGCAGGTGGTCCCTACTCTCAAATGTTGAGGGACCTCATAGACAGGTCTTGGGAAGACCCACAGATGGCAGGTGGAGATGGGACCGCAGTCTCTCTACCGGCCCTACAGGGATGCTGGGCAGTCGGCCCAGATACCCAGCGGCAGTGTACCTTTCAGGGAGAGGAGAGCAGCGTCCTCCCTCCCCAGTGTTAAGGTGAGCTGCAGGGGGCAGGGACAATCGGTCCTGCTCCCCAACGGCAGTGTGTTTCACTGGGAGCGAAGAGCAGCGTCCTCCCTCCCCAGCGGCAGAGTGTCCTACAGGGAGCAGAGACAGTCGATCTCTCTCCCCAGCGACAGGACAAATTATGGAAAGGGTAGACAGTCGGTCTCCCTCTTCAACAGCAGAGAGAGTGTCAAGGAGGGGAGCCTGTTACCCCCTCTCCCCAGAGGCAGTGTCCTATACCAGGAGGGGAGAGCCTCATTCCCCCTCCCCAGCAGCAGCTTATTACACAAAAGGGAGACGATACGCTCTCCACCGGTGCAGATGGGACCATGGTCTCTGCGCCCAAACTACAAGGAGCGGGGACAGTCTGTCTTGCTCCCCAGCAGAGGAGTGTCCTACAGGGAGAAGAGACAGTCGGTCTCGCTCCCCAGCAGCAGGACAATGTATTGGGAGTGGAGACCATCGGTTCCCCTTCCCAGGGGCAGTATATGGTTCAGGGAGAAGAGCCTATTACCACCTCTCCCCAGTGGCAGCTTATTCACCAAAGGGAAGGCCCTAGTCTCCCAGATGACACAGACGGGGCCATGACCTCTGTACCTGAACCACAGGGATGCGGGGCAGCCTGTCCAGACCACCAGCAGCAGGACCGTTTATTGGAAGGGGGGACAGTTGGCTCCCCCTCCCACCACAGCACCGGTTCCAGGGAGAGGAGCATACTACCCCCTTTGCCCAGCTGAGCACCAACCAGGCTACTCCAGCTGAAGCGCTGGCACCAGGGCAGAGTACTGCTGGTCTCTGCCCACTCAGCAACCCACAGATCCAGAGTGCCAGTACCCCACACAGCCGTGGGGGAGCCCCTGGACAAAGGCAAGCTACACATTCCCCCAGATGCAGTAACTATTTATTGTGGGTGGGCTGGACTGCTGATTATGTTTTGTGGGTGGGTTGCTGGACTAACCAAGGCACTGACCGACAGGAGGTCAGATACCTGGTTAGTCTTTTTGGGAAAGGGGAGAACTGTGGCGAAACCAACCTCACCACTGGGCATTGGAGAAGACTGATTGCCAGCCTCCTGCCATGTGACTATGGCCCCTGGGATGTATTGCCCTTTAAGGAACTGATTTAGGCATAATGGATTTTTATAATGCTGTTTCTGGCCCTTTAATTACTTTGGAGCAGTGTTGCAACTTTAAATTGGCCGAAGTAGTCGAAGTAGCCGCCATTAGAGAACCGAACTCGTGATGGCGGCCATTTTGATTCATTCGAATGCAGTCAGGGGTGTGTGCCGTCAAACTCATGGAACTAAAATCGGCTACAGAACGGCACGAACACCGCTGAAGTTTTACCTTCCCTGGAACTAATGCATTCGACAATTCGAATGGTTGTCGTTCTTCTGTTTGAACTGACTTTAACATGGGAAATAGACCGGCCGCACAGCCTGATTCTCTGCAACTGTTATGGGCATGAAAATGTGCTTGCGGTTGGTCAAAGGTGACTTATATCTATCTCCTGAACGGCTGAACGGATTCGATTGGGTAATTCATAATTGTCTGTGGGCTTCTCCCTTGCATGGGAGAATTGCATAAAAGCAGATTGTGTGTCATTAAAAACCTCAGTTCTACCTCAATTTGGAGTGCCGTCTCTTATTGGGGGAATCTGCTACAAGGGATTGCTAAGCTTGTCATACTTCCTTGCCAAATCACTACTAGGCTCTTGTAAGAGATTGTTCCTGCCTTGCTCTCTGGAGAAGTCTACGGTGGTTATGGTGTCAGCAGGAGTGCTTGGAGCCCACAGGAAGCGCTAGGAGCATCCAGTACCGGAGCTACCCAGTCGGGGTGCCCGTCGATCCGTTACACATACATACTTCACCGCATTACGCACCGAATCTCATATACCGGTGTGTGTGTGTGTGTGTGTGTGTGTGTGTGTGTGTGTATATGTATATATATATATATATATATATATATATATATATATATATATATATATATATATATATATATATATATATATATATATATATATAAAAAAAAAACAGAAAAAACCTTGCACTCCTACTCACAGTCTTTCCTACCCAGTGTTTGATAGCACTAAAATGTATACAAAATAGAAAGTGTCTCTTACAGTCGTTTCCGTTCCTATTTGCAACTTTGCTCAGGACAAACACAAGTGCATTATCACAAACATCATATATTTATAGGACCCTAATCAGTGATTCACCATTCATCTGTGCAGAAGGCTGGCGTTCTATCATCCAGAGAGCGCACGTGTAAGGGCTGGGAAACAGCTGAAGAATTCATATCCCAGTGCCACAGGCTGGATCTATTAGTCCGCCATATTGCGTTGCTTGGACAACCAGGACGCGAGCGTCTAGAACATAGATCTGCCCCTTCATTAAAATGTGTCTATCGCTCTGGCTTCTGAACAGGCACTCCGCGAAACCTAGGAAACTTAACCCCCCACCCCACCACACACAGACTGACCCATACATAAACAGACTGACCCCCCCACACACTGACTCACACTTACCAGCAGCTACCTTGATGCCTCTGTGCAGGGCTGAGCTTCCTCTCCCTGTCTCTCCCCTGCGCTGCTCTCTATGACCCAGGAGAAAGTGCTTCCCTCTGGCCGCACGTGGGAAAAGTGACAGTGCTGATGCAGCTTGTGAAGGGAGACTCAGTGCTTCCAACTTCAATTTCAGTTGGAGGGGGCACAAGCGGGGACACTGCATGATGTAGGGGGGAGGGGTGGCATGGCCCCCCATAGTGACGCCCCTGGCTCTCTGTAGTGATGCTGGGGCCAGAGTGATGTCATGTCACTAAACAGCGTGCAAGGGAGCAAAGAGAAACTGCAGAAAGGTTACTGCTTCTTCGTGCGCCGCCTCCATGCTCCCCGCAGCGCCCTGCTTTAATGTTTCCTGCATGGCTTAGCAAAGTGTTTACAAACGTCAGGCGCCATGGCGCCTGGGATTTTTTTAGCCCTGTGTATGTATGTATGTATGTATGTGTGTGTGTGTGTGTATATCTATCTAAATACACACACACACACATGTTTTAGAACTGCCCCCCTACTTTTGTTCCTGGCCCCATATGTACCCCCCCAAAAAAAAAGTATGAATCCTGGAGATGCCACTGCCCTTCATTAGATTGTATGGGGCAATACAAGATCAATGGTGTCAAGGAATTGCAATGAATAATGCTACAGTGTCTAGAATTTGGACAGGAGCCATCTTTAAAAAGCGTTATTCTTTACAAAGTGATGTCAAACTAGTTATACTTGTTTGAATCATATACCATGTCCCATCACAGTATGCCAGATGATTGGGCAACACATTACTTCCTGTCTTTCATGGCATTTAGAGGATTACATTTAATTCCATATGAGCTATAGCTTAGATTTTACTCGTTTTTGAACGTATACAGAGGTTTATTCACTTTAATCCGCAAAACGAGGTGAGGCACTTAGCACTGCTTACAAAAAAAAAAAATCTTCTTTATTAAATATTATAAAGATGACTCAAAAATCAGAGAAGGGTGCAGACTGCCTTGCACATTTCATTCAAGAGACTAACAGGGTTACTTACGGAGAGGGGGACCTTTGCATAAATAAAGTTTTACTTACCTGAAATCCAGTGCCAGGTGAAGCTTTTGGCATTGTCTACCACGCCACCTGAGGTCACAAGGGCTGCTTCAATTTACTGAAGTGGTCGCCATGGTTACTGCAACCCTTTAATAATAGGCCTATTTATTTTAATTACATTTTGTTTAATAACTTTATATTGGGATAAGGTAGCACAAACTTGTTTTCTATTTCAGTCACTAGGCATTTATATTTTACTGGTTTTTGGGTGAGGGGTTGTGGACTCACATATTTTATTTTTCTTCTAATGTATGTCTTCATTGGTGATACACAGACATCATTGTTCACAATAGAATTGCAAGTTGTTACATAAACTTGATATTTTATCCTCAATAATCTAGTAAAAAGCAGGCTTTTTTAAAAATTTGTTTTAAAACTGTAATATCTAATGCTTTATGGATTCCACAAGTAAATACTTGAATTAAAGGGACACTATATGCAACAAAACAACTTTAGCTTAATTAAGCAGTTTTGGTGTATAGATCATGCATTCCCACAGCTCAATACTCTGCCCCTCCCTCCCACCTACTGTGCAATCCCCCCATTAATTAAATTGTGTTTTTTTAAAATAAATTTGGAATCTCCCTCCCCGCTTGCCGATTCACATTGTGTGCATGCTCTCTCGGTCGGAAAAACGGTCCAATCACAGGCTTCCCTATGAATGAACCATGCAAGACTCCCTGTCACTTCAGGATTGGGCATGTAAGAACAGTGTCGGGAGCATCGCCTGATGCTGGATTCCACGTTAAAGGACCACTACAGTGCCAGGAAAACAAACTTGTTTTCCTGGCACTTTAGTGCCCTGAGGGTGCCTCTCCCTCAGGGTCCCACTCCCGCCGGGGGGAAGGGAGAGAAAGGGGTTTAAACACTAACCTTTCTCCAGCACTGGGCTCCCTCGGTGCTGGGGACTCTCCTCCTCCTTCCAACGTCATTCTCAATGCTTTCCTATGGACGCTGGCGTCTTCTCACAGTGAAAATCACGGTGAGAAGCGCCTCTAGCGGCTGTCAATGAGACAGCCACTAGAGGCTGGATTAACCCATATGTAAACATAGCAGTTTCTCTAAAACTGCTATGTTTACAGCAGGCAGGGTTAACCGTAGAGGGTCCTGGCACCCAGACCACTTCATTGAGCTGAAGTGGTCTGGGTGCCTATAGTGGTCCTTTAAGTAAAATGTTTTCTACAGGTTTTATGGGGGTAGGGGAACCTAAGTTGAACAAATCAAAAGGGATATCTTGCATAAGGGTTGGAGTAACCCAAAACAAATGCTTTTAAGTCGATTCAGTTGTTTAATTTTTTAAATAGGATTTGGGTTTACAGAAGATCTCTGGCTATGTTGATTGCTTCTAGAGATACCAGGGCACAAAGTGCAGTATGATTATTATTATTATTGCCATTTATATATCGTCAACAGATTCCGTAGCACTTTACAATATTATGAGAGGGGGGATTTAACTATAAATAGGACAATTACAAGAAAACTTACGGAACAATAGGTTGAAGAGGACACTACTCAAACTAGCTTATAGTCTATAGGAGGTGGGGTATAAAACACAGGACAGGAAATAGCAATCAAATAAGGTGGGAGTGAAGCAGAGCTGAGGAGAGAGTAAAGTGCTACACTTTCGAAGAGAGCAAGAGACCAGTATGTGAGGTAGAGGTTACTCTGGGAGACCATAAGCTTTCCTAAAGAGATGGATTTTAAGGCACTTCTTAAACGATTGAAAACTAGGGTAGAGTCTGATGGTGGTAGGCAGGCTATTCCATAGGAAGGGAGCCGCCCGCGTGAAGTCCTGCAAGCGTGAGTTGGCTGTATGGGTGCAGGTAGTGGACAGGATGTCACGGGCAGAGCGGAGAGACCGAGAAGGGACATACCTATGGATCTGTGAAGAGATATAAGAGGGACTAGAATTGTTCAGTACTTTATAGGTATGGGTTAGCACTTTGAATTGACTCCTATAGGATACAGGAAGCCAA